GTATGTTGATCTCTGAATTCCTCATCTACATAACTGAACTGCTATTCCTCATATGAAATATTAACACTGCTGTGTTATCAGGTGGGTAGAATTCCTCATCCACATAACTGAACTGCTATGCCTCATATAAAATATTAACACTGCTATGGTGTCAGGTGGGTATTAGACTTATCGGGAGGACCACTTTGTAAGTTATATAAATGTCTAACCACTTAGCTGTATACATGAAACTAATATAATATTGAATGTCAACTATAATTTAAATTTTTTTAATTTAAAAATTAAATAATTCTCAGCAAATGATTGAACTATTAAATTTTCTATTCTGATGGCTTTTAATGAATAAAAATTATGGTGATAATATCTCAAAATTTCTTTTTCATAATTCTATTGTTTCAAGTTGTTCTTAATAAATACTTTCACAAAATACTTAAAAATAAAGAAATATTGACACTTCTAAGACAAATAACATAGTGGGTTAAAATCACATGCTTTGGAAACAGGAAACACGGAGTCTGAATTCTTTCTTCTCACTTATTATTTTTGTGTTCCCGGGTAAGCCACTGAACCTCTCTGTTTTAGTTTCACTTATCTATAAAATGGGTATAATGATATTTGCTTCATAGGGCCACTGTAAGAAATTTGCCAAAGTAAATACTTAATAAATAGTAGCTATCATGTCATAATTATTACATTATTATAAGAAAAGTTCAGAGAAGTTACCATTCAGTCAAACATTTACCATTCCTATCATATGCAGGAAATATGTAAGCACTAGGAATACAAAGAAAAAAAGGACAGTTAAGAGAACTCAAAACATATCTTATGTTGAATTCATACTTTAAAGTTCATTTCAAGTACAAACTTCACATTCTATTTTGTAATTTCTAAGTAGGGCAATTATTTTAAGTTCCTCCTATCAAAATTAAAGAATGATTTATTTTCCCTTTGAAATGAAAAAATAAGTTGTCAGGTTCAACCAAATTAGGGCATATTTGAAAAATCCTTGGGATCTGGGAAACATAGTAAAACTTTAATTTGAAAGCAACCTGCAATTAACATCACATTTCAAAATTATTCTCAAATTAAAATGAATTATATTCAGACATAAAATACATTAAATGGACCAATCTGCTATTATGACCATCTTTTTTAGAAGGGCTGGGCTAACAGATGTGAGGAATTAAAATGAAGTTCAAGTTTGTATTTCATTTTCTCATTCCCCTTAAATGGCAGATGGTTTAAATATTAACCCTATTAGTAAAACATTTGCATATTTATTATGAAACTGATTGCCTTACCTCATTCATTTTAGTAATTTTATTAATTTTACTCATGGCTGCCCATTTCATTCTTCTTAACTTTTGCCTCTCAAACTCTGGTCCTAGGATCAACAGCATCAGCATCACTTGGAAGCTGGTAAGAACTACAGAATTTTAGTTCCCATACTGAGTCAGAATTTGCATTAAAAAAGAGTCCCCAAGTGATTTATATAAGCCTTGAAATCTGAATAACATAGTTCTAAAATTTAGAATCTAAACTGTTGATTTTTCTTACAGTGTTACAAAAAGTTTGTTTGCTTCCAAATTGTGATTAATTTATGTCCAGATAGTAACTTTTAACAAGAATAATTCAATTCAGACAACTAAGTTATATTATTCTATATAGAATGTTATGTCACAGACTTCTTGTTGTACTATTCATTTTTTCTCTTGATTCAACATCTTTGCCTTAGCATATGACCATTATGATGAAAGTCTTCTCTGTAATTGAACAACTAAAATACTAGGAGATCAGATTCTCCACATAATTTCGGAAAAAATGAAAAAACTCAAAATAGGTTGAACTTGAAAGTTCCCTAGTGGAAAAAAAAAAAAAGACCAGACTGACTCTATACTCCAAAATAATAATTTGTTGTTGTTGTTGTTAATCCTCACTCAAGGATATTTTTTCCATTGCTTTTCAGAGAGAGAGAGGGAGGCTGGGAGGGAGACACACACATTGATTGTTTGCCTCCACGGGGGTGTCAGGGAGCGAACCCCCAACCAAGGTATGTGCCCTTGACTGGGAATCAAACCTGAGACCCTTTGCTGTGCAGGTCAATGCTCCAACCACTGGACCACACTGGCCAGGACCAAAATAATACATTTTTATACTTCACCTAGCATTTTTTACTAAGAGTGGCACATTTTTAACATAAGAAATTCACATGGAACTTAAGTGCAGTTCTTTAGAAGGCTCACCTTTTATTATTATTATTATTATTGCAAAATAGAACAAATCTTACTTTCTCATTCATTTTTCAAAAAAAATAAAAAATGACAGATCTAAGCTGAAACTGATCATAGCAGGTAAGATGGTTCAGCACAGATTCAAAGGAAGGTACAAATGTTCACTTTTCAAAAGCACTACAAAAGCCAACCTCATCTATTTTCATTGCAGCCATGGCTTTATGCCGAACATTTGAAAACTTGAAAAGTGCTGCTCTGTATAAGTAATTATGAAGAGCTTTGCAAAAAGAAGAGGAAAGATGTAATGACAATCAACTCCTTCAAAAGGTCAAATGCCCATGGCCTCTGGGTTACAGGATAAGAATCTAAGAATTACTGCTGGATCGGAGACAATGTACCCAAACTAGATGTTTCAGGAGTGGGTTAAGAGCAGGTATCAAGGAATCTGTTGGGTAGTCTCAAAAATTAAATATGCCCTTAAACATCCCCAGGTTGGTTTGTTTTTAGATATATAGGTTGTCCCAAAAATGTATACACACACTTTGAACAATTATAAAGGCAGTGTTTATTAAAATACATTGCATTTGTAAAGTTGCACTATCAGCTGTTAAGGTGTGTAGATATTTTTTTGGGACACCCTGTATACGATCTTTTTATAGGTCAGTTATTCTTGCATTTAACTCTTTATTCACCTCATTTTGCATTTGCAGCCTATATAATTTTTCAGGGTACAACATTCCACAAGAGTACAACTAGGTATTTAATGCCTTTTTTATGGTGCTAGATATATTGATTTTTAAGCTTTAAGTAGTGCCTCTAGTTCTAATATTCTAGAATTTGGTAAACAATTAAGCCCCCTCTCTACTCACATTCATAGCAAAGTCTCTCAGAACTATGCACAATGGCTCCACTTCCTCACCTACCAGTCACTCTTCAGCCCACCCCATTTGGCTCCCACTCCATTCACTCTATTAAAATGTCTCTTGGTAAAGACCATAAGGACCTTCGTGCTGCTAAATCCAATGGACACGCTGTAGTTATCATTTTCCCTTACCCTGCAACATCTTTCAACAAAGTTAATTGTTCTCTCCCTCTTAAAATAACTCTCCTGGGTGCCTCCCAACTCTGTCCCTTGTCAAATTTTAGGGACTCTGTACCCTCTATCTAACCTACAAATGCTACCTTGGGGCTTGGTCCTGGAATCTCAGATAATCTCATAACTATAAACATCCCCTTCATTCTGATGACACACTTCCATGCCGACAACACTTTTACATCTCCAGATCAGATCTTTCTTCTGAGTCTAGAACAGTACACCCAACTACCTATTCAACATCTCCACCTGGATGCTTTGTAAACATATTTAAACTCAACTCATTAAAAACTGAAGTCTTGGATTATTCCCTCACTGTTGGTCTCCCAACATGTTTCTCATCCCCAAACCATCTACCCAGTTGCTCCTGCTAGAAACCCAGAAGTCCTTTACTCTCACCACTCTATCCAATCAATCTCCAATCCTGTCCTTTTTGCCTCCAAAAGATAGCTTTTGTGTGCTCAGTTTCCCACCTCGACTGCCATCTTCCCCTCTCACCCCCACTCTCCAGACTAAGTCATTATCACCTACCACATCGCAATAGCATGCTAAGTGATCTTTCTGAATCTACTCATACTCCCTTCCAATTTCGCCTCCATACTTCAGCCAGAGTGATCTCCCAAAGGTGAAAATACTCCTACTTAAAACCCTTCAGTGGCTTCCTATTGGTTTTAGGATAATGTTCATAAGGCACCTATGTACCTCTCCAGACAACCTCATCTCATGTTATCATTCCCCTTGTTCTCCATAAGCACTAGCCCTACTCTTTTTCTATGTACATTACACATGCTAAGGTTTCTCCAGATGCAGGGTCTTTGCACATGTTGTGTCCTCTACCTGGAATATTTGTTGTTTTACTCTTCTTCTATCCACTGCTGTCCAAATCACAACAACACACACACACACACACACACACACCCCAAAACCCCAGAGGCCACATGCAATAATCAAACTAGACCAAAAGGAACTGACTGCCTAGTAACCCATAGTGTTAAAACATAACACTAAGGCAAAAAAATTATAGTAATAATAACAGCAAACCCTTATATAACTTTATACTAGGCACTCTTTTTGGATGATTTATATATTTAAATATACTCGATACAACAATCTGAAGTAGGTATTATTATAATCTTTTTTTAAGATAAAGTAACTAAGGTACAGAGAGGATAAGTAACTTCACGAAGGTCACAGGTATTCAGCGGCAATGCTAGGATTCAAATTGTCCTGTGTGAAGGCTTGGCTGTCCATAACTTGGACTATCCAAACCTCCCTTCCACATGAGGGATGTGGAATTGGTTTACATAATTATACTGCTATTTAGATAAGTACTAATTCTCCACTAGACTAAAAACATAAATGAGGATAGAGATCATTTATATCTTGTCCACTGATATGTCCCAATCTCCTGAATAATATCTAACACATAATTGATGCTCTAAGATATCTCTGAATATGTTATTTGAGAACGTATTGGGTTCCAATCATGCCTTTTACTACTATCTATCAATTTTCTTTGTTAGCTGTCTGCTAACCATTTCTGCCAATCCCTCGGTGTCCCCTCCTCCTGTCTATGTGGCATTCGGAACCGTCTGTAAGGTATGGCGGCGGCCCAGTCTTCCCTCCATCCCCGCGGGGGTGAGCGCCTCGCGGCCTTTCCTGCCCTCAGGCCTCACCTTCCACGTGGGGGAAGAGGCCACCCCAGCTTCCAGGCCAGCTCCAGATGGCTCTCCTGTGCCCAGGGGCATGAACCGGCCATACCGCTGCAGAGGCCACTGTGCCGCGTCTCCGCCTGGCAGCCCGAGGCCCGCCTGCTTTTTTCCCGCCTCCGCCATGTCTGGCCTCCTGGAACGCACAGCCAGCGGGCGTCTGCCAATCACGCAGCGATCAATCAGGAAGTGAGGTGGTTAGGGCCCGCCCTCCCCTCGAGCGCAAGCCAATGGGCGGGCCCTGAAGACTCCTGCTGAGGCTTTGCGGGGGCGGGGGTTGTGGGTGTGGCTCTGGCCCTTGGGGGCTGGTCCTCTTGAAGGGCAAAGCGGAGATGGTGATTTCCAACGTGAAGTGGGCCTGGGCCGCCATAAATGATAGTTGATTCGACCTTTGCAGCATTCAGGCCCTCCCCTTCCCTCAGAACACATTTCCGAAAATGGGCCAACGCCCTGTAATTGTACGCTGGACGAGGCGGCTCTCTCCGACTGCCGAAACCCGCGTGCTCTCCTTCCGCAGGCAATCTTTCAGATGATAACGGCCCTGTCCACCTCTAACCCACCACAACTCAGCCTCAAGTAGGGTCATTTCCTCACCATCCTGCAGCCCCCTAGATCTACTGCCTTCAGACCGCCAAGTTCTTTCCAAAAGAGAACTTTTGGATGGAATGCTGCCGTCAATAAAAGGTGTGTCTCAAACAGCAGGTCAACTAAATGGCAGGTCTGGGAGATTTGTAGTCGACAGGGCACTTCTACATCTGTTATTTCTGGTGATGAAATAAAGAAGCAAAACAGATTATTTACCCTATTGAACAGATGGAGATATAATAAGGCCCTGAGAGAAGAAGCAGTTTGTCCAAGGTTACACAGCCAGAGTAGAAGTGTAAACTCCACAATCTCTCCATGTATCCACTCCACTTGCAAAGAATTTAGTCTGTCAAATCCAGTCTGTCAATCAGAAGCAATGTATACCGAAAGTGGGGGCTATATTAACCATACTCATAAAATAAAGTTATATTGCAAACATTTTTTAAAACTACACATGTCAAAGGGTATTAAATGCACAGACAATGGTTTGAGAGGTGGTATTTACTCTACACAGCACTGATTAAATATGTACAGTGTGTAGCTATGCTAGTCCCCCATAGTGGTTATGTAAATGGGTAAGGCATGCGTCTAGTCTTTTAGAACCTTGGGATCTAATTAGGAAGGCAGAGAGAGATTCATGATACCTGACACTGCCATGTGAAAAGTATACACCATGTGCTCAAAGGATTCAGATGAAGTAAACAACTATGAATGGGAATGGCAGTGACATTTCAGTCCTAACCTGAAGGGTGACAAAAAGTTTCCCAAGGGAAGATGGAAAAAAACTGGTTTTCCATATCAAGAGTAAGTTGAGAAGCAAAAATTGCAGAGATGAGGATAGTGACATACAGCCAGAAGGCAAGGTTTTGGGGGGATGAGGCCACAAAGTTGAACTGGGCAGAAGAGCACTGAACAGCAGCTAAGAAGAGTGAACTTTGTAGGTGGTGAGGAGCATGGAAAATTTGCATGGGGCAGTGACTATCATAATGGTTGTCCAGGCAGGTTAATCTTTCAGGGATATATAGAATAAATTGCTCCTGAAATTTATCCAAGGCAAGGGATATTTGTCACTTATCTTTCCATTAGTCCAGTAGAGCTTGAAGTTTCAGATTTCAGAAACTGCTGAAGGTCCTTACATGACACAGCAGTAGTGCATTTAATATAGTAGTAAATGGTCAGAAACTTGGTTTCAAGCCCAGTTCCACCACTTGCCAGCTGTGTGACCTTGGGGAAATCACTTAAACTCTCTGTAAAATAGGATTAGTTAATACATACCTACAGGGTCATAGGGAGGTTAAAATAAAATCATTTGTGGGAAAATACTTGGTAAGTTACAAAGCAGCACACATGTTGGTACTTTCCTTTTGCAGGGTAAAAAATTACTTCCTGTGGCTCCCTACAGGCAGAAGGATGGAAATGGGAGTCTGACATTTGGTCTCAGAGGCTCTCACCTTCCATGTTGTCAGACACCCTTCACAAGAGCAGATGGTGCTCACAGTTGGGAGCCTATCAGTGCCCAAGGACACCTAGGGCATTGCTGGGTTCCCACCTTCAAGCTCCCATCCTAGACAATACACCTGTGCTCAAGCTTCTGGGGCAACCAGCATTTGCCAAGAACAGACCATGTCTGCAAAGAGAGATAGAAAGCCACAGTTTATAACAGAGGCTCTTTAAAAACCTATGATATTAACAAATGTGACTTGAGGATTCAAGAGGTCCTACAAACTGTACTAGGTGCTGGGGATATAGTAGAGAATAAAGCATATGTGGCTTCTAACCTTCTGAAGCTTATAATCTAGTTGAAAGGCAGAAAATGAAGCAAATTACTTCATATTTTAATGGCTGTTTTGTTTTGTTTTTAAAAGACAAATCTGCAATATATATATTAGGGTATAATTTTATACAATAAAAAAACACAGATATTACATGTTCAATTAGGTGAGATTTGACATTTATATACACTCATGGAACCACCATCCCAAACAAGATACAGAATATTTTTTAAAAGCTCCAAATTCCCTTAGGAGTTCCTCCTTCCAGTCAATTTCCAACTCCCACGGGCAATCACTGATCTGATTTTTTTAATTGTTTTATTGCTTAAAGTATTACAAAGACAAGATACATATTTTTTAAAAGCTCCAAATTCCCTTAGGAGTTCCTCCTTCCAGTCAATTTCCAACTCCCACGGGCAATCACTGATCTGCTGATTTTAATTGTTTTATTGCTTAAAGTATTACAAAGAGTATTACATATGTCTCCTTTTTTCCCCACCCTTAACAATCCCCCGGCCTCCCCTAACCCCCAGTGTCTTATGTCCATTGGTTATGCTTATATGCATGCATACAAGTCCTTCGGTTGATCTCTT